TTGTGGCATTGTGTCTGGTGTGCTTTTCGTATTCTTTTCCAATTTCAGTGTCATCGGCTTCAAATCCGATTGTGTCTCCAAGAGGTGCACGTGGTGGAAGAAAGCGTGGAGGTGTTAGACAACATAGTGCAGGATCGCGTCAAAAAAGAGTAGGCGTTGGATCATCTTTAGTTTTCACCGTTTAGCCGCTTTAACATCTATTCGAATCAAATTTAATAGTGGGGGACGAGTGCCGTAGTGGTATGAGGAGTTGCCATGACCAGGTCGGTCAAGGTTCGATCCCACCCGTGGGTTATCCAACCCTTCTACCCTACGGGGCCGGTAAATTGGTAGTGGAGTTACCTGGGAGGAAAAAGCACTGAACTAAGTAATTCGCTAGCTCCACAGCTCACTGTAGACGGCTCGCATGCATTCAGGCGCCTTTTCGACAATGAAGTAGAGTGCCCCCGGCGCACCCCGCAGAGGGTATTGAAGACGTCGATCCTTTATCCTTCTTTTGTAAATACTGTCATGATTACTCAAATAAGTTTTAGTCAGCGTCGCGTAATGACCCACCTGGTGCTGTTGCTGCTTCATTTAATCAAGCCTGGCATGGAGCCGGACCCACTCCTTCGGGTAGCGTAATGACTCAGCCGGATTCTCTGGCTTACTCGCAGCATCAGACCCAGCAGGTAAGTCACTCCTACTGCTGCCACTTTCGGTTGATACCTCAATATAGGTGTCATCAAATGCGGTAAAAGATCCCACAAAGACGAAGATCCAGGAGTGTATCAATAAAAAGCGCCTTGAAGCTGCACGGATATCGGGTAAGAGTCATGACTTTTTAAGTGTATGATTTGGGTTACATATGGTTATGCAGTGCTAAAAATGTCTACCGCGTTTAGCAGGATTCCCAGGACCATCTGCATCGATGCCGTCTACGATAGCGCCATCGCAAGCGTCGTACTCGGATTCAAATTTTAGCCACCACTCTGGAAATCAGAGAGTGATGCCAGGTTCGCGTCGTCATTTCATTTGTCACTTTTTTCATTATAATTTTCTGATGGTGTCTCTTTCTAGGTGACTACCAAAACCAGCAGCCTGGCCAAGGTACATCTTTATCTTTATTCCATACATTCTGGGCGCCATAAAGAAAACTAGAAAGTTGGTAACAAACCATACCAACTACGACATTCCCATCAGAATAAAAACGTTGGCTCACAAACTTTCGTCGACATTAAAAACACTTAGTACAATAGTAATAAATAGGAACACGGGCCTGAATAAGTTCGGCATTGGGAAATGACGGCCTAGAATTTTTAAGGCAACTTAAGGTGATATTGACTCCGTTAGGTCCGCCAACTCAACAATCACACCTTGAACACATTTGCCAGCTCCGACATGATAAGCAACCTTAATTAGATTGGAGTAGCTTTCTGAGAAAAATATAGAGTTTTATTCAATCTTAATCCTATATCATTTCTAAGTCGGTTTCATAGTTTCATCAATTTCTGAAATACCCAAAAAGTCCCGCACAGTAAAGATAGACAAACATTTCAAGCTGTATCCGAAGTATTTCTTGCTCTTTCCAAGCATATCCTTGATGTGAATCATTGAGGAAGTGCTGAGGTAATCGCTGGAAATTGCAACTCTCTGTTTTCATCATGTCTGAATTTCGCTAGTTCCAAGAATTTTTATTTGAACTTTCGGGGCTTTTATAGCCAGCACATAGGACAAACCTTTTGCTAACTGAAGCAATTTTTTGCAGCTCTGGCCTGTTCATACGTCCCAAATCATATTTTTTGAAGTGACTAGATTTTATAATCGGCCTATTCTAACCTAAAACATAAAATGATGAGCAGTCAGGGGTCATTCGATGCAGCTTTTTCTCTTCTTTTTTTTAATAATTGTCTTTGCTTGGCGAGATACACGAAATTTCGGCGTAGAACGCAGTATTTCTCAA